GTTGGGGGTGGAGAGAGCGACCGGGAACGTGTCGGGGAGCAGCGGCCTGGGCTGGAGGGGGGAGACGTAACGAGAACGAAAGACCGAGGAGAGTCCGGTACAGGGGGGCCGGGATCACGGGGGGAATGGGGCTGGGGGGTCAGGGAGGGACCGGGAGCTGGGACTGGGCAGCAGGGCCGGTAGAGGAAGGGGATCGGTACCGGGAAACAGCAACAGGGAACGTGGGGGGAGCGGGGTGAAAGATGGGACTGGAGCAAAGGAGGGATGGGGACCAGGGCAGGGGATTCACGCAAGCTAGTTGGGGATGAATCCCCAGGTGGGTCAGAGGTTGAGGCTTTAGGGTTGTCCCCGTAGGGCACAGAATGTTTGGTCATTGGGACAGGGGCACTGTCACCTTGCTTGGGTGTCCCATATTGCCCAATACCTGGCATGGGCTGTATGACTGGAGCTCTCCGTGTTGCTTACCCTCTGCCACCATMCAGGGAGATAGCGGAGCCGGGTCGGGAGTTAAGGGCTGGAGRGAGGAAATACCTTCCCAAGACAGTCCTCTCCAAGGACATGCTGGGACCCTGTGGCTGTGCAGGGGATTCAGGGGGATGGTCGGCAGAGCTTTTTCTGTGCCAGGCACTCACAGTAACCCTGGGTGCTGCAGGGCTGGACCATGAGCTGGCTTTCTCCAAGATCATTGTGGAGCTGCGAAAGAAGCACCCCGGTCACATCCTGCCAGATGAGGACCTGCAGTGGGTGTTCGTGAATGCGGGCGGCTGGATGGGCTCCATGTGCCTGCTCCATGCCTCGCTCACCGAGTACGTGCTGCTCTTCGGGACAGCTGTCGACACCGGGGGACACTCGGGTAAGCAGGGGACAGGGCTGGTGGGCAGGGGAGTTCTCTGAGCTCTTTCTACTCCACTCATTCAGACCCAGCTGGCCATGGTTGCCCAGCACAGGGAGCCCACTGCTTCAGTATTTGTGTGGGGTGAATGATGCTGGCAAACGCTCTCTGTGTGGGGACCTSTCCCTATGGTGTCTTGCAGCATCTGCAGGTCCCTGTGTGTAACATAGTGTGTGGCCAGGACTGTCCGCATCCAGCTGGCATGGGACGGCAGACATCTCATCTCTCAGTGCTCCAGCAGGGAGCAAATGCCAAAGAATGTAGAAATGATGGGGCTTAAGGACAGCAAGCAGCCCAGGCTGGTGGTGTATGGCTGTTCACACAGACAGCAACGGTACCAGAGCCATCGGGCTTTGTGGTGTTTTGAGGCTCTGATGCTGCCATCCTTACCCATAGAGGGCTGATCCACAATTCACACTTGGGCTCCTGCGCTGTCCCTGGCAGGGCCACACTGAGCCAATGTTTCTGTCCTCCCTCAGGTCGCTACTGGGCAGATATTTCTGACACTCTCATCTCGGGGACATTCCGGCAGTGGAAGGAGGGGACCACCAGAAGTGAGATCTACTATCCCGGTAAGTTCGGCAGCCACTGTGCCCTGTAGGCTGCATCCATGTCTTTGGGGTGCAGCCACTTTCTTCAAGCTGGCAGAAACCAAGGGCTCAGGGTAGGGCAGTTTGGATCCCTAGTGGCACATGCCAGCATCTCACGGTGGATGGCAGTAAGGGAAAAGCGAGCAAGACTGGGGAGGGGTTGAGAAGCTCCACCCTGCAGGTCCTGACCCCCTCCCTCCCATTTGGGCACGAGGTGGGGCAGCCACTGGAAGCCTTGCTGGTTGTGTATTTTGGCAGGGGACACCATCGTGCACCAGGCGGGAGAGGCCACGTCAGTGCAGTGGAGCGCGGGCACCTGGATGGTGGAGTACGGCCGGGGCTTCATCCCCTCCACGCTCGCCTTCGCCCTGGCTGACACCCTCTTCAGCACTCAGGACTTCGTTACCCTCTTCTACACCCTGCGTGTCTACGCCAAGGGCCTGCTCCTGGAAGCCAATGCCTTTTTCAGCACCTTTGGGTGCTGAGCCAGTCTTGCCAGGGCACCCTGCCGAGCCCACTTGGATCCTTTCCTCCCGACCTTTTTCTCTTCCTCCCCGTGCCCAGGTTCTAGCAGAGGCAGCAGGAGATCCCCTGTGCCTTCCCCAAATTGTTCTGTCCTTTCCCCACAGGCCAACAGGGTGCCAGGACAGAGGGACCTTGGCAGTCCCAATAACACAGACCACCTGTTCTCTTTACTACCTGCCTGTCCCTCCTTTCTCCTGTCGGAGTCAYGTCCTGCTTTTCCATTCCTCGGGGCTGGAGTGGCCTTGCAGTGTACAAACACCCCTGTGTGCCCTCAGCATGCAGCAGGAGAGAAGCTGGAGCTGGCTGTCCCCAGACCCTGAAAAATTTCCTCAGCTCCTGAGACAATCAGGGGAAGGATGCTGCCCTCAGGGTAGGGTGCAGAGGGTAGACCAGACCAGAGCACCCATGGCTAAGGCTGGCCACAAAGTCCCCCGTGTCTYTGGCAGCCTGCCGGGACTGCGGGCAGCGCAAAGCGCTGTGTCCAGCTGGCAGCATCTCCTGTGGCTCCATCCCTGCTGATGTGGGCTGGCAGCACACAGCGTCACCCTGGCACGGGGCAGGATCAGCACTGAGACCCCCTGGCAGTGAGGGGATGCCTGGCTTCTCTGCCAGAGGGCCCTCTGGTCACATGTGTGTCATCTGCCCTAGGGGATGGCTGGGGCTGGAAGAAGGTCACTTGCCCATAGTTCCCTCCCAGAAATGCCCCCCAAGGGGGAATCCCACCGTCTGTCGCCTTAATGGAGACCCCGTTCTGCGTGGCCTCTTGGCTATGCACATACCTAGTGTCCTCGAGTGCCCAAATGTCTGTACTAGCTCAGGATGGGATCTCGCCCCTCAAAACGCTTCCCCCGGCTGTGAGACCCCCCCCCCCCGCCCCGTCCCTGGGGACAGCCACTCTGCTCGGCTCCCGGCATGGGATCCCGGCTGCCAGGAGAGTGCTGTGATCCCCCAAACAAACAAACCCAGCTGTGGACCCTGCTTGCACCCCTGTGGCTAGACCCGTGTGAGCTCACTGCTTGGTGGAGGGCTTTCACCTCCATGCTGCCAAACACACGTGTCCCTGGCCACCCCACCCTGTCGCATGTTAATCCTCCTGCTCCCTGGACTGTCCCTGTTCTGCTGACCAGCAGCCCTGCACACGGGCTTGTTCCTAGTTTGCTACCTGACCAGATACCAGTAATAAAACTGTTCATCCCACACTCTGGAGTCTCTGGAGGAGTCTCTGGAGTGTGTTGAGGCCTGCCATGGTGAAGGGTACTGCAGCAGTCCTGCGTGTCCTCAGGGAAACTGCTGTCATCCCGCTCGGGGTCCTGGGAGCTGGGGGTACAGTGCTGGGCAGGATCAGCCCTGTCAGCTCCCGGGGACTGGCAGAAGATGGTGCTGTTACTCCTCTCGCCACTGCAGCCAYTGGGGACCAAAAGCCCGGGCTGGTGCCAGATTGTTGCCTTCCATGGGCAATCCCAGAGTCCGGAAGGCTCCATCCTTTTGGGGGATAGCGCCAGTGCTGAGTTTATGGCCCTCCTAAAGTGGACAGACTCGGGCATAGGAGATGGTGGTTTGGAGAGGTTTGCATAGACACACAGGTGTGTGCACGTGTCAGACACGTGGTGAGTGTGTGTGTGTATGTATGTGCACATGTTCACAGTCATGTGCGTGCCCATGCAGGTGACACAAGTGTGTCACGCCCTGTGCATGTGCACAGCCCACAGTGCACATGGACGCRGGTGTGCACACCACGGACAGGCAGGCTGTTCGTGTGTTTGCGTGCGCACATGCGTGTGAATGGGCTCTCTGTGTTCCTGTGTGTGTTCCTRGGGGCTGCCAGGCCTCCCTGGCCCCACAGCAGCCCCGTTCCCTGGGGTTTAGCCAGGCCCCGTTGTGGAGCACGAGCGATCCCACCGAGCTGGCCCGCACGGCAAGGCGCTAACTCAGCAGCTCGTATCAATACCGCTCCACTTACAGCGAAGGCCGCGTAATGAAAATCCGATGGGCACGCTGGTGGGAGTAAATAAGTATGCCATTAAAATAAGAAAATCAAAGCTCTGGACAGGTCTTTTCTCTTGCCCATTGATTTCTTTTATTACGGAAATATTGCTGCTAAATAACATTAGTGTGAACAATCTCAGCAGTGTTTTCTGTAGCGCCCGTGTCAATAACTCCATCACGGGCGGGGGATCTCCCCCAGCCTGGCCGCGGGGCCAGCAGCSCTGTCCATGCAAAAGGCTGCTCTGGAGGTGCCTTCCTTAGCATTCCCAGCTCAGCTGGGATGTGCCAGATAAAGAAACCACACAACACAGCGTGGCTCAAGCAAATGCCAGCAGGGTTGAGCTGGGCTTGGAACCCGGAACTCAGGCTGTTCTGCTGCAGCAGGAGGGGKTCTCCCCATCCCAGCACTGAGCACTGTGTGCAACACATTCATTAAAGGGTCACAAAAAACATCCCTTTGGTGTTTGCAGCCTCTTAAACAGGTGTCTCCAATACCCAGGAAAGTGTCTCCAATGACCAGCGGAGAAGAATTCTGGACACAACAAGTTCTGCAGGCTATTGGTGCATCTTCCTCTTCTTTTCATGCCTCCTCATCCATGCCTGAGTCCATGTTGGCCTGACCCAGCTGCCTGTAGCTTGCCATCATTTGGTTCTGGAGAAACTGAGGCACAGGCTGGGAGCTCATCTGCCATCATCCAGCTGCAGCCACAGTGCCTGTGCCAGGGCCAGGGCTTGCGTTCAAACCGTCCCCTTCCCACTTGGCTGTTCAGGCAAACAGCATCCTTCAAAATGCCCACAGACAGCACGATGTACCTGGAGAGCCAGAGGATGTGACCAGGACACACAGGAAATACGTACCCTTTGGTGTCCGGAGACCAGATGGGACTCCAGGGCACCTCAAAGGACACCAAACCCCTAAGGAGTACCTGGAAAAGGGCATGGAGAGTCAGCCATGGGTACCTGCACCCCAGGCCTGGCTCTACCACAGCCCCAGCTGAAGCACCCTTGAGTGGCATCTCCCCAGAACCGTCACCAGGACAAATGCACATTGCTGCCCTCCTAACACCTTGCCCCTGCAACTCGCTTTATCTTGCTGTCCCTCCACATGCGGTGGGTATTGATCAGCCCACAGGATCTATCTCTCGATTCCTCCTGCGGTATCTCTCTGCTCCAAGTATCTCTCACTCTGCTCCRCTGTCTGCCGTGCCCGTCTATACCTCCACTATCTATCTGTGCCGCCTCAGCCACAGCCGTCGATAGCCATTTGGGGAATTTCTCTCCAGCTGGGAGCATCACCAGACCCCATCGGTGCAAAATGCTGAGAAGGGGGGCTGAGGGGACATGGTCCTGCTTTCTTACCCCAAGGCGATCCTGAGCATGGGCATACCCCCTGACACACGCAGAATCCCCAGAACTGCTGTTGTCACTGTGAACGTTCTAGAGAGGAACTGAGTAGGACAGATCCCTTGGCCATTCCCAAGGCGATGTGACACGTTGCACCCCACAGAAACTTTGATGTAGCCATTTGCTGTCCTAGCCACATTCCCCGTCCCTGGGTGCTAAACTGACCCAAGCACCCCAACTCCTCTGCTTTGGAGAGGAGAATCTTCCCCAAACACTTGGGTTCCTGTTGGGTTGTGAAGAAGTCACCAAATCTGTTTCATCATACTCAGCCCAACTTTCACTGTGCAAGGGAAATGGCACAGCCCAGAGCAAAGGGTGCAGCACCCTGGGGTGTAAGGCAGCAGCACTGGGAAGGATGCTGGAGCCATGTAGCATGGGGTTCTGTGTAATGAGTCCTGAGGGTCATCTGGCCCTGTGAATCCCTTTGAAACAGGTTCAGATCTCATCCTCCTGGTGCCAATTCAACAAGAATTGTCCACGCTGTATTAACGCTCAAAGGGGCTGGCAAGCGCCTGGAGGTCCCTACCTCTGCTGCAGCGGGATGGGATGGGCCAGTGCAAGCTACAGCTGTCCAGCCCTGAAATAGGATGGCCGACAGCTAATTTATCTCCTGTGAAAAGATAAACAGTGCCTGGGGGCCCTGCAGGGTCGAGAGCTGCCCTGGTCTCCCAGGGAAGGGTCTGATTTTTCCAGAAGAGCTTCCCTGATGAGCATGCTGCTCTATGCCTAATGCTGCTGATGTGCCAGGAGTGTAAGGGGCCCTGAGAATCACTGGTGCCACAGCAGGATATGGGGCAGTTTCTCAAGAGATGCTCCTGCAGAAGCTGGAGAGCCCAGAAGCACCAGTTTTTCTCCACAGAGGGAAGTGGTGAAGGGGACAGAAGCTCATCCCGGGACATGGAGCCTGAGAGCAGAATCAGCTCCTGCCACAGCCACGGCCAGTGGCTGTTTTACCTCAAGATGCTTGGAGGAAAAGGGAGGACTTGGCTCATGTGAGGCCCCTGGCCCCTRCAGCACACAGGTGGCTGTGAAGGAGACAGAACCACCAGTCCCTGGCACCTGACTTCTGGTCATCCCATGCCACCAAAACCCAGTGCAGCAGTGTGAAGTCTCAGTGACAAACTGCTCTGGCTGTGGGATGGGACCAAAACTACTGTCCTGCATCTCAGTGTTGCGGGATAATGTTGCTCCTCAGGGATCAGCCGCCCTGGCCAGAAAAAGCCCAAGGAAGAGCGGGCACCTCCTTTGCTTCCCGGCAAAGTTCCCTCCATAGAAAAAGGGGCCAGCAAAAACTGGCAGACAGGCAGGTGGAGGAAGAGTAAGGAAACAGTCTGTGGATGCTGCCAGTGGGTGAAACCGTGTGCTTCCCCATGGGCTCTGGCCCACTGAGAGCAGTGAGGTGCTGTGTGCTCACCTCATCCTACATCTGACATCTGGAGACACACTTGATGATGCCCTGATGCCACAGTTTGCCCCAGTGCAAACAGGGACACGGGGCAAGCCAGGAGCGTTGAGCCATTCCTGTGACAGATACATGGCCTTGTCCTGCCCATGCCAGGAAGCCTTTTGGGCACACAAACCACACTGCAGTCTGACTCCTTCAGCCAGGGGCCAGGCACCCACAGAACCCCTCATAAATATCCCTCGGATSTTCCAGCCTGGCCCATCACAGGTCAGACTCCTGTGACACCCCAGCTCTCGAGGATGGCGCTCAGGGCTCAGCACTTGGAGCTTGCCCAACACCCCTTGGTGCCTGCACATGGATTRGTAGCATGAGTACACACACCCACCTCCCCCAAAAAACACACGTGCACACGCCTGCCCTCCTATCCTCCCAACAGAGATCACACACCAACAGGTGAACACACAAAACACTCACACCCAGCTCCCCCTGACACAGACAGGCATTTATGATTGTCCCCAAGAGCAAACACACATGCGTGGGTTCACACTGCAGGCACTCAGCCCCTCTGACAGCGCACACAGCTGCGCACACGCGTGTGCATGGTTACTGCTCCACGTGACGGACAGTCATCCTCCACAAGCACCCCCAGGTGTACACACACCTWAAACATTGGGCACAGACACAGGGGGTGCTCAGACACTCTGCATACACATGAGTGTCAGACCCCAGTGTGCACAGACATCCTGCACACACACAGGTGTTAGCCCAGACACAGTGGTGCTCAGACACCCTGCACATGCGCGTGTGTCAAACACCAGTGTGCACAGACACAGAGGTGCTCAGACACCCTGCACACGCGCGTGTGTCAAACCCCAGTGTGCACAGACACCCTGCACACGTGCGTGTGTCAAACACCAGTGTGCACAGACACAGAGGTGCTCAGACACCCTGCACACACATGTGTCCAACCTCAGTGTGCAGAGACACAGGAGTGCTCAGACACCCTGCACACACATGTGTGTCAAACCCCAGTGTGCACAGACACCCTGCACACACACGTGTGTCAAACTCCAGTGTGCACAGACACCGAGGTGCTCAGACACCCTGCACACACGTGGCAGACCCCAGTGTGCACAGGCACCCTGCACACACACGGATGTTAGACCAGACACAGGGGTGCTTAGATACCCTGCATACACACGTGTGTCAAACACCAGTGTGCACACACACAGGCGTGCTCAGACACGCTGCATGCACACGTGTGTCCAACCCCAATGTGTACAGACACCCTGCACACACACAGGTGTTAGCCCAGACACAGGGGTGCTTAGATACCCTGCATACACACTTGTGTCAAACCCCAGCGTGCACAGACACAGGGGTGCTCAGACACGCTGCACACACACGTGTGTCAAACCCCAGTGTGCACAGACACCCTGCACACACACGTGTGTCAAACCCCAGTGTGCACAGACACAGGGGTGCTCAGACACGCTGCACACACATGTGTGTCAAACCCCAGTGTGCACAGACACAGGGGTGCTCAGATACCCTGCACACACACGAATGTCAGACCCCAGTGTGCTCAGACACCCTGCACACGCACTTGTGTCAAACCCCAGTGTGCACAGACACAGGGGTGCTCAGACCTGCACACACACGTGTGTCAAACCCCAGTGTGCACAGACATAGGGATGCTCACACATGTGTCAGACCCCAGTGTGCACAGACACAGGGGTGCTCAGACCTGCACACACACGTGTGTCAAACCCCAGTGTGCTCAGACACCCTGCACACACACGTGTGTCAAACCCCAGTGTGCACAGACATAGGGATGCTCACACGTGCGTCAGACCCGTGTGCTCAGACACAGGGGTGCTCAGACACGCTGCAMACACACGTGTGTCAGACCAGACACAGGGGTACTGTGGGGGACGCTCATCCATCCCAGTGTGCACACACATACACACGCAGGCAACGAACACACACACGCTAACCTTTCCCCAGCACACACATGYGCCTACACACACGCACACAGACCCTCTAAAAGGCGTGCGATGGGTGCAGCACCCTCTCACAGACGTGCGAATAGACCCCTTACACACCCCTCCTTCACTCCCTTCTCCTCGCACATCTCAGTGTGCACCCCCGGTGCCTGCACACACCCCCAGGAGCTCGCCTYGTCCAGCACCCACACACAGACACGGACCGGGG